CCTCGTGGAGCGCCACGGCCACCACCACGGCCTCCGCCACGGCCACCACGATCACCGCCGCCGCGGCCTCCGCCACGTCCGCCTCTAGGAGTGAAGCCACCGCGACCGCCACGGTCACCACCGCCACGACCACCGCCGCGACCACCTCTGAAGATATGTTAGTAAAGTTTTTTTCTCAGAAGCATTTTAGACTTGAATCTACTGAGCGACAGGCCGAAGTGAAAAGTTTCAAGTTGGCGCAGTACTGCTCAAAAGGTCGCATCCCAAGTCTTTTCTACCTCGCGATGGAGGTTTGAGTAGTGGGAGGCATACCTGGGAGTGAAGGCCATTGCTACTAAGTTCGGAGTTTTCGTTGAAAGCTTATGGAGATGAAAAGGCTGTCGCGCATGGTTAATTTTAGGATCTGAAGTTGCAATGTGCATGGTACTAACTCGTGATATGTAATTCCACTCGGTGCGCAGCGATGTTGCGCGTTGAAGTGGGTGTGGATACTGGTTGTCGCGGTAGAGCGATGGGTACTGCAGGAGCTTGAAGTTCGAGCTCAAAAAAAATCCGAGTATTAGTCTTAGCGCAGAACCGCGCACACCCAGACACGTGACATGGCCCGTGCAGTGCTGCCGAGCCGCTCTGCCCACATCGAAAATTGACATGAATTTCCCAGACACCACGTCGTCAACCTCCACTAACACCCACAGCACAAATCGACAAAATGGTACGTCTACCACCGCCACGATACATCATTGACCTTTGCGACTCGAACATGGAATTAATTTTTGCAGGTTCGCTACGGAGCAACCTCCATTGACGGCGCAAAGTCTGCCCGCGCCCGCGGCAGCTACCTCCGCGTTTCCTTCAAGAACACCCGCGAGACCGCTCAGGCCGTCAACGGCTGGAAGCTCGAGCGCGCCCTTACCTACCTCGGAAATGTCCTGGAGCACAAGGAGGCCGTTCCCATGAGGCGGTACGCTGGCAGCACTGGACGCACTGCTCAGGGTGAGTGGCCCTGAAATCGATTGGCGCATTGGCGCGATGGGAGGACGTATGCAAGACATGGGGACTTGGAGATTGGATGGAGTCTGTTTTGGCGATTGCAGGAACGCACGCTGACTTGAGCAGGCAAGGCTTTCGGTGTTTCCAAGGCCCGCTGGCCCGTCAAGTCTGCTGAGATCCTCATCGGTCTCCTCAAGAACGCTGAGGCCAACGCCGACACCAAGGGCCTCGACACCAGCAACCTGATCATCAAGCACATCCAGGTCAACCAGGCTCCTAAGCAGCGAAGGCGCACTTACCGTGCTCACGGTCGTGTACGTACACCGAGACGGATCGCGTAAACTTTCCTAACATGAACAGATCAACCCATACATGTCCAACCCCTCCCACATCGAGCTTATCCTCACCGAAGGTGCCGAGGTCGTCCAGAAGGGTCCCCAGACTCTCGAGCGCCGCTTGAACTCCAGGCAGCGTGGCCGTGCTGTCCGCAAGGCCATCACCGCCTCTGAGGAATAGAGGAAATAAGGGTGGTGATGTTGCGGCGAAGAAAACGGTCAAGGCATGGGCACGGTTTGGAGTCAAATGAGCGATGAATCTTTAGGGTCTTTCACACTCATCATGTATGCATGATATGGCACTTCGATTTCTACGGTGTCTGGTCCATGAAATAAATAGGGCCAAGGCCTGGTTCACACAAACATCGATACCGTATGCGCCTATGCCAATTCCGTCGCCACCTTTGTGCTTCTCCGTCGTGACACCCTCCGATCTGAGATTTTGCAAGCGCCATGTCCACACCTCATTCTACATGGAGACTGATATAATGCTATGATACTTGTAATGAATGCATGAAAGGCTATTGTTAGCATAGATTTCCAAGTAAATTAGAAGCTACCTTTCTATGGCAACTTTGGTCTATACCTCGTTTCGCTAACATCCAAACAGCTGAATGCACGCATACTATCCTGTCTTAGGCATAGCGCGCCACATGGCTTTTGGCAAGTCGAGGATAAACGTCGGTGCATTCCAACCGTTCAATGGCTGTTTTACGGCCCCAGTTGGTCCGAATTGCTCCATTAAGATACGTAGCTGCTGATCCTACGTCTTTGTCGTTCGTCATATCTTGCAGCGCCTTGCTCCAGCCGGGCTGACCAACTTTCCCGTGACCAATGACGCAAGCCCAGCACGAGCCCAGCATGGGCATGTACCTTGCCGCAACATGTGTAGTGGAAAGATAAGAGCTAAGGTATACTCTGGGATCCGTTGTCAATTGTCTTTCCCCAGATATCTCCCTTCTTTGAAACATTAGCAAAGCTTTTGTGGATATCCAATCTGTGATTCCACTAGTACCAACATGCCTCGCCTACACACATCCAGACAACACAAACAACAAATGGGACTCACAACCACTGTTCTTTCGATACTCGCCACAACGGCGCTTGCACAACAGTCAAAACGTGGTTTTGCATTCATTGGCGACACGCACAAATCTGACAATCGACTTCTCACCTCCGAAACTTCGCAACTGTCATGGTACTACAACTGGTCACCCTACCCAAACAGTGATCTTATCCCAGCCGACCGACTTGAGTTCGTGCCGATGATTCATGGTATCGACGCCACCAAAGATCAACAAACCGAGCGTGTAATACGAGGGCTGCCAGAGAGTAGTAAACACCTGCTATCCTTCAATGAACCGGACGGCTCAGAAGGTAGTGGCGGAAGCAGCATAAGCCCCGAAGATGCTGCGAAAGCCTATATCGATTACGTTGTTCCCTTTCGCAATGGAGACAGCGGGGGACGAAAATGGTTGATCAGCCACCCTAGCACCACTGGTAGCCCAAACGGTCTTGACTGGTTACGTCGATTTAACGAGTCTTGCTATGACATTGACTCTAAAAATGGTTGTCCAGCCGACTTTGTGGCTGTGCATTGGTACGGTGCTTTTGATGGCCTTGCGGGCTGGCTAGGCACTCTGGACGAGTTCTACAACACAAACACATCGCGAAGTGTACCCCTCAAGCTCTGGATCACAGAGATGGCGCTGCCCCAGCAGGACGCAGACAACACCGTTGATATGATGAACCAGACGCTGCCTTACCTTGATGGCGAGGAGAATGTTGAGAGATATGCATGGTTTGGCGCGTTCAGGCCTGACGACGCGAATGAATGGACCGGTGATGGAGTAGCATTGTTCGATGACGATGGTGGTCTTACGGAGCTGGGTGCGCTTTATATGGGAGATGGATTCAAGGAGGGACAAAAGGGAGAAGGTGCAGCAGAGGATGCTGGAAGCGGACTTCGTGTCAGCGTTGGAACGATGGCCGCTCTCGCCGTATGCGCTACGGTTTTCGGCATGTTGTAGATGCGTCGGTGCCGAATTATCGCGTTCGTCTTACTCTAGATACCCTAGCATGCTTTTAGATACCACTGATGCGCTTATGAGAGCGCTGCATAGAACGAACTATAGACCACCCACTGAACTTTAAAATTTGCACACTATATGTTGTGTTGCATTCGAGATGGCTTGTCTGAAGCGACTGGATGCTTGCTTTAGTGATAAAGAAATCCCTGAACAGCTGCCAACAGATCTGATTACGTGAGAGACTTGGTCCTAATGTGTTATATATTATGACCTATTATTTCTAGTTCCCTAATTACATTAGTATACAGTGGTTCTGACGATAAGCGAGTGCTGTTGTATAGTTCATTTGGACTTTCGGTATGATATGACCAAATAATTAAACGCTTGTTTTACCACCAGAAGTGTCAAGACACGGATCCTCTTCACTCGGTTTATGAGTCAACCAATCATCTCAGGCTTGCGTTTGATGTGAATCTAACCGCTTGTTTACATGGTAGTTATTACTTTCACTCCCCTTCTCACGTGGGCTAAGGCAAACGGATCAAACGCACATCTGACTAGTATTCATAATGAGAGCTAGCTATTTTCGTTTCACTTTCACAACATCATAGTCAATGTAGATTCCACCTAAGTTTGATTATGATATTTCATTCACTCACTTCAATTTCATACTGAGATAAAAAAAACCCCGATCACCCCTCTGTGAGAAATCTTCTACAACAACCAGTGCCCCAAGTCTCAACCGAGCCCACCAGAGCAAGAGCCAACAGTTCGAAGTCCCGTCCTTGAATGTCGAGTAGTAAGTCACATGCTTGTTGCCGTACGGTAGCGTCAAAACATCAAGCCGCCTGCAGACCTCTGCCAGAAGATTGACATCGGTACTGACAACACTGACAAGGATACTATCAGAAAAGTCATTATGTCATCTCCAAATAATGCCAGTGGTACACGCATTATTGCAGCAAAAGCACCGCGTCAACGAACTGCTTCTGCCACCCCCAAGCTGACTGTCTTTCAACTACTCGCCACGCGTCCATGGCTCTTACGTCCTCAGTCCGTGTCAGAGCAAGACCTCTTCATCATCCATTGTCGCGACAACCTTGTCCCCGGCGCCACAGGCCCAAAGGACTGGGATGAAGTGGCTGAAGAGTACAACAACAAGTACCGTGAGCATATGAAGCCGTTAGCATGGAAGACACTGAGCAAACGCTGCGGCATCGCCCGCAAGATCTTCATGGGCGAGAACGAAGACTACGCCCACGTACTGGAGTACCCAGTCCCAGACGTCGATGCAGAAGGTGAGTCCGACGAGGACGTGGATATGGACACACAAATAGTAGGTGAAGAAGCGTTACTTTCTGATCCCACTCAGTCTTCCCCCCTGCTCCCTCCCCCCAACCCTTCGCCTCGGAGCCCAGCTCCCATCACCACACTCTTCACACACTCGATGCCCGGGTTCTACGACCCAGCATCGATCCCAAAAACCGACATCACAACCATCGTCCGCGCGAAGTTCCACATCCGCAACCGCACAACATCGTTTGTGCGTTTCCACTTCCTCAACACCAATGAGGAACGTCTGGTGAAGGACAACCCACAATGCGTGGACACCAAGATCCTAATCGCCAACTCCCCCTTCTACGCCCGAAGTCTTCATCGCAGCGCAAACTACACCATCATCGATGTCCCAGAGCAATTCAACGCACGCACCATAAACGTCTTCATCCAACTCATCGCTCCTGTGCGCGCAACGCGACTGCCAGACCACTACCTCTGGAAAGCGCAGGCCGCCACACCAGGGCTGTACGACCGCTTTGGCGCTATCAAGGCCGAGAAGATCGACTGGACGGTTGCGGGCCTGCTCGATCTCCTATTGTTCGCCGCGATACTCGAAGTAGACTGGATCGTCGATATAGTCATCGATCGCCTCCACTTCCTCTTCGTCGAGCAAAAGCGACTCAGCCAGACTCCCGCTGCTGTGAGCGACTCTCCCGTCTCCGGCCGATTACGCACATCGATGAGTGCGCAGCCTGCCAAGCTTCACGCCGAGGACTTCAACGGAGAAATCGTCAGCCATCTAGCTGAGATCTTAAGGGACATGCAGACGCTGGGATTCATCGCGGATGTGATGAGAGGATTGGGCGCCAAGGTGGATGAGAAGTGGATTTCCAGTATGTCAAGCCAAGTAAAGCGCGTCTTTACTTTGGCGTCGGAGGAGCACCTGTTCAACTGCTCGCTCGAAGAGTATTGTAAGAGGTACCATCACCATCCGCTCACTGCACGCGGTTGTTATACCTCTTACATTGTGCATCCGCCGTCGACGTTCATCAGGGCGCTGTACAACTTTGCTACGCCAGAGGAACTTGTCAGGCACTCGAGTGGACTGTTGCCGAGTGGTGCGAGCGGCATGTCGAGCACTGAGTTGAGCAAACTGAGGGAAGAGAACTCGTCGCCGGAGATGCTGGAGGCCGAGAAGAAGGTTCTGGAGATGGAGAGCCGTTTGGAGAAGGCGAAAGCTGCTTTGAGATGGGCAAGAGATTCGTCCGGACTTGCGAAACAGCATGCCATGCGGGAGGCGGGTGAAGCTTCTGAGGAGATGTATGGGCCTAGTCAGCTCTAGTGTGGAAGATTATTGTTTACAGTCAGCTTTCTTACGTCCTGGAAGTTGGATAGGCGTTTTGTTCTGGTAATGGTCAGAATGGGAAAGGAAGTTGTAGGAACTTGGTGTTGGTGGTGGCGTACTTGCGGACCTCAACTGTCAGACATCACTGTGTGTGTTCCTGTTTCAGTTTTACAGTAAATGAAAAAAAGTCATTACGAAATATGGTGTGATGCATGTTTGGATGTTGAAACAGTATCATGACGATGGAACGGATTGAAGTGTGGGCTGAAAGAAAATCACTAGAAGATTCCAAGATTATCTCGTGATGGTAATGTGCAAACCATATTTGACACCCTTTATTGGATTGAGAGTCATATCACGTGAGTCATTCACGATTGCGCAATTCACTTTACAAACGGCTCTCTCTTCCCATCGCCTATATAAACGACTATCCCCACACACCTATTTTCGATAGTCATAACAAAAATTCTGTCTTGTTTCTACACCCTTCCGACTTGATCGGTCATCGATGTGTCGACGGCCGTCTAAGACTTCACAAGAAAGAGCCAGACCAACAACATCCTCGTATTTAGATCTTCTCAAGCTCAAGGACATTTCCCTGCCCATCAACAGCAACCTTCTTCTTCATAAGCGACGCGTTCCTCGGATTCGGCGCATTAAAGATGTCGTCAATCTCTTCAAGAGTGCGGTTCTTAGTCTCTGGGATAAAGAGCCAGACAACAAATGCCTGAACAGGGCACCAGCATGCGAAGACAATGTACAGCTTCCAGCCGATATTTCTCAAAGCGACAGGATACGCAAATTGATTGACCAACATAGCCGCTTGGAGCGCAACCTGCGAGAATGCCATGCCTTTGGCTCGTATTTCGAAAGAGAGCACCTCGACTGGATAGAGCGCTTGGAGAGGCGTGATACCAAAGGCGAAGACGGCGTTGAAGAGGAATACTAGTGCGACAAAAGCGTTTCCAGCTGGGATACTGTGGTGACTGTTCTGGTACGAGACTGCCCCAATAGCAGCAACCCAGACGAAGCTGATGATACTGAATGTTCCTATCAACATGGGCCGGCGGCCGAGCTTGTCAACGAATGTAGCACCAATGACGGCCTATTTCACCTTGTTAGAATGAATACCGTGTTTCAGACCAGAAACCTTACACAAGTAAGTTGCATGCAGCTCTTGCCTAGGTTGATGTTCATCTGCTTTATCTCTGATGTAACACCAGCTGATTCGAGCACCCCTGCAATGAAGTAGTCGACCGCACCGTTACCTGCCCATTGGGCGAAGATCGAGACCACACAGTTACAAGCAAGACGGTAGCGGGCTGGGCGGCTCATGAAGAGCGACCTATAATCCCACCAGCGCTTATCGCCTCCATCCATGTTCAGATAGATGTCATACTCGCGAACTTGCATCGAGACCCATATGCTGTCTTCTTTGCCACAGCCATGATACTTTGAGAGGATCTTCTTGGCCTCTGTCTGTTTGCCACGAGTGTAAAGCCAGCGAGGCGATTCCTTTGACACAGTTAGTATACGTGCATCTCAGCACTTTGGTTAACGCAGCTTACGGGTAGGAACCAAGGCAGTATAACGAGAAGGCCTGGAAAGAGCATCTGGAGCCACACGGGAATCCTCCAGGATTGATTGCCTGCAAGACCCGCAGATCCTCGTGTAACGCCGGCTGCAAGAAGTGATCCAACAAACCAGAAAGTATTGTAAAGACCAGTTATGACACCGCGATGAGATGGATGCGCAGTTTCAATGACGTACACGGGTCCGGCAGTCGACATTATCGGTACGGCAAATCCAAGCAGAAAACGGCCGCCCATGACTTATCGGAAAGTTAGTGAGATTTGCATTCGGCATTGTCGATCGGAACGACTTACATTGCCCTACAGGGCTCGAAGCGGGGGAAGTCGCTTGGATAATTACACCGATGCAACCAAGAGTGCCTCCGATAACCATACCGACCCTGCGGCCCCAGGTATCACAAGCCGGGCCGATGAAGGGAAGCACGACAACTCCCCCTATCTGATACATTGATGTCACGATACCAGCCCAGGCGCCAGTACTTTGGACATTGTAGTATTCCTTGAATTGTTTGTTGGTGAGAAGAGCGCCGAACATGGAGCCATCAAATCCGTTGCAGGTAGAGCAAAAGAAGCCAACAAACCCACAGATGTAAAGTAGGATGGCCGAGCTAGTGAAGAGCTTGACGGGCTCTTTCAATCTGGCTTCTGCAATGGCCTCCGAACCTGCGACAATGGCGATTTCTGATACAACATTGTCGCTGGCCTATCATCCTGTGAGTAGGCGAGGGTGAAACAAAGTTTGGAGATTGGTACTTACGGCATGCTCCGCAGTCGTACTGACATGCGGCTCCTTTGCTTCCGCCATCGTTTTGGTAGAGACTTTTGCAATGGAGGAGATGTGGAGAAGATTTTGTGGGGAAACGGCCAGACTATAAACCATCTGTGGAGAGGCATACAAGGCAGTTCCATCTTGACAATGATCGGCCTATGGCCCGAAATGTCCGGCTTATGCTGTTTTCCAGCCGCGTTGAACCAAGGCCAGAGTTCCAGAAACAAGACGCCAAGCAAAAGGAATAAGAAAACTCTAATCAGTCATCCTATCAAGAACGGGCTCCCTGGTGGCTAGGACAGCCCTTAATAATTATGTTGACATGGATGTGCGCCATTGGTTTGACGGTTACGGAGATCCGGGAGGAGGCCCTTCCTTGGGCATCTCATGGAACAAGCAAGCGCATTAGCTGGCACTTCCGAAGCAGATGGAGATACTGTAGAACGTATTGGATCTTGCGGGGCGTAGATTAAGGTTGCGATCTTTCACGGAAAGGGACTCCCCTATCATGACATTCACTGTAAGCAGCGAAACGTTGATGGGTATTGATCAAGAAGGCGGATTGCTCGCCTTAACTGTCTCGTTGTAGGATTGAGGTACAAGACTATTACTGGACGCAAACTGCACAGTTCGAACAAGCTTCGATTGAGATCTTCGTCAAGCGCGTGAATATGGTTCTTGTTCATGTTGTCTGCATTTCTTATGGATGGCAGCGCGGCGTTGGCGGAAGTACTGGCGTCTGGCTTTGCATCTGAGCCACCGCGTAGACATCAGGGCTCGAAGCAACCAAGTCGATATTCATTAGAATAATGCATGTTGATCAAAGGGGAGTAGTAAGACGGGACTCTGATGTATCGGAGGAATGTCCGTCGCTCCAGTCAGGTCCAGCGGCTGTTGAGTTGAGGTAAAATCACGTACCGAGCGGGGTAAATATGCCTATCGTGTCGGGCGGGCGTAAGACTGGTAAGTATTCTGCATCCCGACAGGCGTACTGCTCATCACACTCGGTAATCTTCCCCTTGCTATACTCAATGCAGACAAGCTAACGAGAGACGGTGTTGATGTCCAGTCCGTACCTTAAATCCACGGCCTCGACGATCGCATCTGACCCTGCAGGTAAGACGGGGGCAAATAGTCAGATGATATGCGGCAGGTTTGCGATGTTATGGACAAGGTACTTCCGATGTTTCGGGTAATGGCACTCCGGGCCGGTTTGGTTTTTGGACTGGCCAATCTCTCCTTGGACTTCCTTGTACCAAGGGTAGTATGCCTCCAGAGTTACACGGCATTCACCGGCGCTGTTCCGGGAGGCATACCTGTTGAACGTTCAGATGTTGTGTACGTCTTTAGATACTCACAAATAACTTTTCACGAGGTATTAGGCTAAGGTTATTTCTTCTGTAACGTACTGATCGAACTGGTCACCTCTTTCGGGAGCTTGAAATGCCCTACCAGACAGTGCTGAAGTAGAAGAGTTTTACTTCGGCAATGTTCTAATCTGCTCTAATATCTCATTGGAAGCGACCGAGTTGTTGCGACGAAACTGCACGATCCTGAATATAACCTTTTGCCGAGAAACTTAGGATATAATCAAGCATTCTGCCTGGATGGCACATGCGACGGAACGTACAGGGGCCCTGGTCGAAGTAATAAATGGTAACAGATTCGTCAGTTTTCTATGCCAAAAGCGCCTCCCTACTTTAGTAGCGTTTGACAGCTATTCTGAACCCTAAGTAGCGTGAATGATAAAGACGCGGCACCTCACCTCAGCATCCAGCTTGATACCACATAGTTCGAAAGGAATCTTTGCTGGCATGCGCGCACCGGAAAATTTATTACTATAAGGTTTTTTTCTAAGAGGCGCGCTCTCATGCTTTTAGCGCAAAAGATGATCCTAGTATCGTCATCGAAATCATAAACATTCAAGCATAAGACAACATCAACTCTCGAACGTGCCGAGCAAGCGCCATGCCACACGAGTTCCTTGCAAGCAATTCCCCACTCAACCCCTCTGCACACACCGCCTCCACCCAAAACATACGCGCCGAATCCCCATGTTCCGTACAATCAAACAGCAAATTAAGCTCCTCAAGATCCAACTCAACTTCCTCACCCCGATCAGCCAGCACCCGCCAACGCTCAAACACCAAACCCTTCACATGCTCATCTTCTAACTGCACCGCGAGACAATAAAGCTGTATGAGCGAAACCTCCTTCCCGATCTCTTGATTCGGCGATGCAGGAAGCTCGTCGGAAGATGCGCACGCGACATAGCACTGGATGGCTGCGACTGCCGAGACGTTCAGCTCGACTACCAGCGTACATTCGCTGCTGCGAAGGCGACCGAGGATACCGGAACTTCGCTGGAAAAGGTGGCTGTCGATGCTAATGGCGTCGACTGGTTCACCGTGCTCGTTTAGGATATGGATAGTGACAACGCCAGTGTTGAGTGCTGTTCCGCGCTCGATGTAGTAGCGCATGTCGGATTGGTTGCGGAGGGCATCTGGTGGTATCCAGCCTGCTATATGTTCATGAGCAGCCTGTTTGTCTAGATGCTCACGCGTGCCCGGGTGTCTACGTTCCGTAGTGCTAGTGTGCTTACGAGGAGTTTGTTGGAACTTGTCTTTTTTTGCGTACGCGATTGCAGTGGGATAGTTTGGGTGATTTGCTAACCATGAAGCGCGATGCTGTCTCACTCGCTTCTCCATAGCTGCTGGGGTGATGAGGACATTGTATTTCTTGTTGTATGCTTCTGCTACGGCTGCCCATGTCATAGGGCCATGCGTGGTGGAGACCGTGCCGTATGCGTCTGGCTTATTGTTATCGCGCGTGATGATGATAAAATGTACTTGTTCGTCTAGGAGTTGTCGCTTTGCACATTTATGCGCACTGTTCATGGCTTGATGTGCTTTGCGGTGGTATTTAGCGGGTGGGTAACTGATGATAAATGCTTGCCTACCATGGCGAGACCTAGGACTGCTGGAGTGGCGGTCATCTGTGATGTTAGCAGCTGTGTTACCGCCATAAGCTCTATTGGCTTTTTGAACCAGACAGGTATTCTTCAGTTCTGTTGCCCGCCGTTTTAATTTACTATTAGTTGCAGTCTTAACACTGCGCTCACGTTTTGCCGGAGCCATAAGTGGCCGATATGTAGCGCCGAGATGGAGATATATTCAGCCCGGTTTGCGCAAAGAGATGCCCGTTGTCTGAGCTCCATGAATGAACGCAGAGATCCTTCGTGAATATGCTATGCAGCACACTCTCATCCTATGGGGGTTTGCATTGTGCCTCAACCCCTTCAAATGCTTCCAACTGTTTCCCCCCATCAACGAACGGAAAGGGGGCTTGTTGTCTATCAGCCCACCATGGAGATGCTGGAGCGTAGCAAAATCGCGTATACCTCATCATCCAGTACATGATGATCTTCTTTCAAGATGCTGGTAATCGTGGACGGGTCAGAGATTTTGTTGCGCTTCTCGATTGGAGTCGGAACATTTTGAAAAAAATTCGCCAGGAGCATCTGGGCAGAATCATACACCAATAGTCATCGAATTGTATGCGATACTTAGTCAGAGTTTGTTCCCAAATCATTCTGTTGGCCTTTGATAAGAGGGGTGTCTCGGAGACGATCGGATTGTGTTTCTTTTTGCATGAAAAACTACTGGAGTTCATTCCAAAACGTGGCTAGAGAGATAAGCAAATATACGACACTAAGTTGAAAACTCTGCCATGTAGGATCAATTGAATTTGAAAACACAGCAGCCTTGCAATAAGATCGCGGGAGTATACCTGAAGAATAGATAATGCATCATTGTATAGTTGTTTAATACTTATGATATGCAAAAATGCAAAGGTCAGCACTTATCGTTTCGACTCGGACCCCTGTATGTATCGTCGCATATAAATAGGTGGAAAGGCGCAGTATAGCCCAAGCGTCCTTCCGCTGAGGTTAGATACACAGACGAAGGATTGTGGGCTTGTTGTTCTTGGCATCGGGTTCAGGGGTGGCCCCTGTGGCGCACCACGTAACTACTACGTATGTTGCGGCCTATTTGTTACGAACTGCGGCCAACAAACCCGTGCGTGGCGCTCTTCTCCTTCATGTGGACACACCTCAGACCCGCGGAGTAATAGGGGGGTTTGTGGTGGCAGTGTTGGCCAAGCTGGCCGCATGCTATAACCCGGACGCGTGCTATCATGTCTGACGCAGGAGAGTTCAAGAATTGTCAACCCCGTCTGGTGCCATGCGGCGGCTACCAGATCAACCGTCAAAACATGAGGTTCGTAGATATGCCGGGCTGACTGCGCGCGAATGGGATGACGTATTTGTTGTGAGACCGTAATCTTATCCCCTCATCCTCTGCGAAACCTGACCATGGATAGGCGATAATAACCAAAGAAGCGAGGAGGCTCAGAGAACAAGACCCTGACATATTATGGAGGGCCCTCGATCAAGAGACAAAGAACGCAATCGTGAACAATGTCAACCAGAAGTTAGCCGAAAAGAATATCCGACCAGTGAGCTTGGAAGTCGTAGGGAAACGTCTCGGTCTATCGTTAACTCGCATGAAGCATGAAGGCATGTGCAATCATCTACTTCTTTAGTAGCTTAACCTGACCATTTGTTGTACAGCTCGCAAGAAAGCATTAGCTGCGCAACAAAAGGCACCTACTAATGCTGCTGCCATTACTACTAGCACGGCGGCCCAACGAGCCCGACCTTATGACCCTGTGCGAGACCTATGATTTTGCGCATGCATACTCTTGACACAGTTCATCTACATCCTCACGCCTAGCTACGTCTTCCGCCAGGCAGATTTGCTGTGCTAAATCTGCTCCCGCTCGATGGCGTAAGGATTGTGTTATGCGTATCTAGTAACGGCTTTGTTACACCATGGCTACAGAGGAGCTTATGACCAAGGCGGAAGTGATGCAGCGCATCGATCGGTTCCTCAGAGAACATGACCAGCTTGGTCGATGAATTTGAGGGAATTTTCCCAAGCGGACCTGTCTCCCCAGATCGATGCGGCAATAGTGAAGGACGTCCGGATCGACATTGACAGTCTTGTCGTCCAGGAAAATTCGACCGAGGACTAGACGGCAAATTGACTAAGTCATCAGTGCCGACATGGAGTGGATGTTGTTCAGCAGGCTGAACGACATAATAGAAGCAAACAAAAAGAATACTGGGCGAGTACTTGAATGATGTAATGAATGCTGGGTAAAGTGCAGTTGCAGTGTGTGGATCGATGGTGCATATTGTCTTTCTCTATCTCCTATAGCGTAATGTCGGGCGATGCTCGGTGTCAATGCACCCAGCGATAGAAGCTGTGAATCTGATTATTGTTCAACTTGCGTGATCCCTGTTCGGCTGTGTTGTTTGACTCAAGACAGGATACTAGAGTTGTAGTTTAAGTGTTGAACAAAAGATGAAAAAGGGGTGATGTGGATTGCACTTCCCTTTCAGATCAAGCCTGTTATCGATAAGGACAACGTTGCAGGCATCAACCGCGTCCCGTACCGACCCTCCGATCCACCACCAACATGTGAAGCCCACGCGCCTACAGTACGCGTTGCGCAAACCATGTACCACCTCTTCAAGTCCATATACCTGCATGCGACGAGCAAAGAAGGTAACATACCCCCGCAGGATCGCTTGATCCGAGGCCCCATTCTGCTATGCGCCCGCATTCTCTAACATTCGCGCCCAGAATACTCGGTCCTGCTCCTCGGCCTTGACAATGCCGGCAAAACAACTCTTCTCGAGCAAATAAAAGGCACATATACCTCGTCCAACGCCAACCTCCGCACCGTGCCTACTGTGGGCCAAAACGTCGCTACCATTGCCCTTCCACCGCCAAACCCGCCCATCTACCTCAAGATATGGGACGTAGGCGGCCAGCATAGCCTCCGCGGCTTATGGCAATCTTACTACAGCAGTTGCCACGCCATTGTTTTTGTTATCGACAGCAGTGATGTGGGAAATGCGACGCTAGCGGATCTGAGCGCAAGCAATGCGGCGAGCAATGAGGATATAGGCAGGCTGGATGAGTGTAAGCTTGTGCTCGAGAGCGTGTTGGCGAATGAAGAGGCGAGTGGTGTGCCCATACTTATTCTGGCGAATAAGCAAGACAGAGAGGATTGTGTCGAGGTGGTGAGGATCAAGGAAGGGTTTGTGCGGAGAGTGTTTGAGGGCGAGAAGGGAGGCAATATGAGGGATAGCAGAGTGCTGCCCTGCAGTGCGCTTACGGGTACGGGTGTGCAAGAGGCGGTTGAGTGGTTATGCAGCAGGATGGCTTTCAATAAAGAGGCTAGGCCGCCGGTTATGCGGTAGCTGGACTGCTTTCTGGAGATCGGACAGCATTGATATACCCCAAGGTGGTCGACTAAGGTTTTCTACCTCATGGTGTTGATAGGAAAGAGGCAGGTAAATCCTTACTATATAATACATTGCATGAAACATATGACCTCTAGGCCATCTAACCAAGACTGATCAATCTAAACAGTTTACGGCAGCAAGGCTTCTTATACAAACGGAACGATATCCAACGATTAGCCTATCACCTTTCATCAAAGCAAATGCTAACTCTAAGGCATGGAGACGACAGCAGAGGCAGGAGAAATGCTCCTACGAACCAAAGAGGAATCTGACTATACTTGCACCGCAACAGAACGCTATGACCTTGGCTGTTGTGGACCACTGTAAGTCCGTTCAATTAGCAAGTCTGAATAGTAAGAAAACCAACACAATATTAGTGATAATACTGGTGTGGGAGCTTGTGGTTTTGGTTCCACCTTCTGTAGTGACAAATGCACGAGCGACTGCCATCGCAAGTCCGAGTGTGACGGCGGAAACTGGGGTCTTAACTACTCGTCCTCTCAACGTATGCTGCCGTAGGCATGGTTTCTGCGGCGCAACAGTAGACTTTTACGGACCAGATCCTGTGCCACGTCTTCAGCGCGATCTTTCCAAGAGGACTGCCGCTTCACGCACCATTGGCTGCCACAAAGGCTGGAGCTACCAACGCCCCTATGGTGACATGGAGCCGGAGGAGGTTCCATTGGGTCATTGGTCGCATATCATGTTTTCCTTTGCACTCATCAACCCCAAGACGTTCCATCTGAAAGATCTGGATGCCGGTCACTTCCAAATAGAGCTTGAACGAAGCTGTCACCTACACAGTCGGGGATATGATCTACCGATACCATCTTTGTATGTTCTTTCTATATTACAGATAGTTGTCGGCTCAAGCTTAACCCTCTTCCAAGCTCCCTCACCGTCACCGTCTGTACTTTGAGCTTACTGGGCTTGGCGAACAGGTGAGCTTGACTGCGACACTATTCGTTTCCCAAAAACAGTGCACCCATGATCTTCTGAGTCGACCATCCTGACTATCCTTACCGCCATCGGCATCATCATCATCGAACCGTGTACCTCACTCATCTTCGCTCCACTCACTCCCTTCCATGCCTTCCCCAACATCCTCACCCTCTTCATCTTCGCTTGATTCCTCGCACTGAAGCTGTACAAGGTCGAGCCTATAAGTCTTAGGTCCGACACTGGAAGGGGGAAGCGCCCAAAGTGCAGCCTCCACTTCCATCTTACGCGCCATCGATTGTGCGGTCCATTTGAGACCCGCCGTCTTCATCGTTCCAGGCGGAATGTCGGTCCAAGAACAGTAAGGAAGACCCCACCTTTGACAGTTTGTACAAACATCGGTGCCTGGAACCTTCTTGCAAACCCTCAAGTAGCCATCTACCTCTTCGTGGAGTGAAGTAACCCAGCAGAAGTCGCAATTACTGCGCTTAGGAGAAATGCTCGTTACCTCTCCCTGCTTCTTATCGAGACCGAACTTGACCATTTGTGCTTTGATAGCCGCACTAGATAGCTTCCCTGCTGGCAACATCCTAGGAGATGGATCGGGGGGACCGAGATTGAGAGACTGTGTCATGTAGTCGTAACGAATCTGCATGACTCTTGCGTAGCCCCTCACTTGTTTAATCCATGGGTGAGGAACTTTCGTCTCGACGTGAAGGAGCCAATGGATGAAGGTCATAGCTTGGGCGTAGCGTTTCGAAGAACCAGGTACCTTAGGGTCGACTATTGCACGAGTGTCTGATGTCTGCACGTACCGGAATCGCCAATCACCCGAACCTTGAGGATATTCCCACTCAATGCGAACCGCGAAGGAATTTGCCTGATCCCAATTCTGGAAGAATCCAACCTTTGGGAGTCTTGCCCAGGCATGCGGGTGAGCGGTGCCGTCCATGTTGACCTCAAATACCAACTGACACGGTGTCCCCTCGAGGGGATAGTTCAAACCATCGAGTTCATGGGCGGACATATACAAATACATGAGAAGTTTCTTGCCTTCTTTGCCTCTGTTGGCCAAGTAGAAGGGATATGTAGAGAAGTAGGTTTGGTGCTTGGCCCAGCGGATTTTCAAGGGAGTATGACGACGGAACTCTGCCCTGGATAACGAGGTGTTCGCCTTAATGTCCTTCACAAGAAAGTCAGTCCGTATGAAGAGCATTTTCTCTGTGATCCTGCCCATCTCCTCCAATGGCGAACGGGAATTCGCTCCGTAGGCGACCCCGAATTCAGGGCGCTGCAGTGGCACTATCCATTGCGTATCTTTGAATACCTCGGCAGAGATCTGTTGGAAATATGTAGCAGCTTCAATGTCGCGAAACCCCTTGAGATCGTCCACCTTGGCAAAGGTCCGGCAAATCTTATCCCTGTACGTACGTGCCGATCAGGCATACGAAAACCTGCTCTGCGATAAAGTACATGTCTAAGTCAACAGTACCATACCATCTACAGAACGCGAAACTCAATAGCGAAGTTGAGCATCGGTTCAGCTGGGCGTATTTGTGAGTACCTAGTGGATGTGAAACAAAACGGGATGCAAAGTCTTCTTTCGTATGCCCGATATAAGCGTACCTAATCAACATGTAAGCACAGGAACCTCCCTCTAACTGCCTTGATGGCCTACCATGTATTTGGACGCCAGAATCCGGCCTCGGGCCCTGACTTCTGAAACCTCCCATAAATGCCACGATACTCAGAGCTTTTATCAGCCGCGATCTTGCAGGCAGCAGCATTGTACAGATCACCCTTGGTGAAGTCGTTGCGTTGGAGAACTTCATAGAGACCAGCGTCCTTGATGCCCTGTAGGATGACGCCGACAATAGCACTGACTCCGCGCTTGTCAACCAGATCCGTGAATGTGGAGCTCACGAACGCGGCCGGGGTATCGTAGAAGGCTTGGATAAGCTTCACGATAGTCTTGTCGAGGACGACATTCGCGGATGGTGGTGGCTGCTTCCAGTTACACCTTATAGAACCCGGAAACGAGTCAATCGTGATAGGCCAGTCTCGAACATTTGCTCTCCATGGAACGATGCCCTTCTTGATCTTGGTTGAAGGTATCCAAGCGCTTCGATCTCCAACGTCAGGCCCATGCTCTGTCACACCTTGGATGAAAATCTTGGCCATCAAGAGTCCGTCACGGTTCTTCTGCTCTCTGATGAAATGGCCCTGCATTCCCTTCTTGTACTTGATCTTGAAACCGTCTTGCGAAAGGTAGTCATCGATGATCTCGCACCCGTATTGGACGCTCGGGTTCAGCGTATGCGGAGCAAGGCCAATGGGTCCGCCATGTCGGTGAAGTTCCCACATGGGCCCGGTGCCTCGGAAGATATCATTTTGCGTGCCCGGTAGGAAGAAAGGCATCTTACTCTGTAGACAGGCGATGTTAGAATGTGTGCGGTGACTTGAGTCGCTGTCACTCACTGACTGGTCTTGACTGCCGCAGCGCCAGGAGATAGGCTAGTGATTAGCCAACGTGGAGGGTGGAGGTTGGGAGGCGGTTGTTAGAAGTCACGGTGTATATAGGCCGCAGAATAAATTTTCACTTGGAGCAAACGAAGTGAGAGTACGCCCACGCACGCACACATACGCAAGACAAACGCTTGTCAGTAGCGCGTCCTGCGATTCTATTCATATTTCACCGCTATTAGGGTCTCACATTCTCTCAGGACTCTAACAACAGCCCGACCTCTGTACCCAGCCACGACTACAGTGATAGCGATACCACAGTAGTCTGAGGTTCAACCACCTCTTGTAAGGAAGAGTCAAGCGATCATAGCATCCGCTGCGAGCTAACAGAAAACTGATGTGATTAATTGCAACAACAATTACAACTACCCCACTGACAATGCCAGTTTCTTGATCAGGCACAGCTCCCACTATGTCTACGCCTGACCTTGGCCTTTACGTGCCTACTGATGACCCTCTGTACTCTACACGAGACAAAGTGATTACACGAAGCCATGTGATCGGTCGCATGCTGGTCCAAGACATCCTTCAGTACGGCTTTATCCCTCCGAACTTTCGCATCACACGTCGCATGCCCAGCGGGGCTGCCGACACCCTCGGCCATAGGGTCTACTACACCGACGTGCTGAGCAGCACGGTATTGACTGCCCATCCTCTCTCACCGAATGGAGCCCGAGTTCACCCCAAGCTAGCGAAGGAGTTCGTGGATACTCGAGAGGACATTGTGTCCCTCTTTCAGCCTCCAGTTCCTCAATATCAGGCGGGGAACTTCAAGTTCCAGGTACATGACGACTGGGAATCGGCGCTTGCTGCCAGTCTCGCAAGTTTTGGTAGAGAGAATATCACAAAAGATGTAGTCACCGATGTCTGCCAGACGATAAAGGACGATAGTTGGCCCGTGTACCATGATCTCTACCATCCGAGTGATCGAGACACTGCCGTATTCCAGAACGAGCCAGAATGTGCCGCCGTTGCAGAATGGTTCAAGCGTAGCTTGGTAATTCTGTGTCCGTATACGCCTGCAGATGGTACTGGATGGGATCGTATCTATGGCGAAAAGAATCGTCCTCCAGTTCGTTTCAGGTGGAGCACCGGTCCTCAAGCTCTTCGTAAGATGACATTTCTTGTGTGCATACCTGCATGGGGAGAGAGCGTGACCAAGAAGGCACATTGGCTGACTCTTGAACCCACGGACGCGTATGCCGCTACTTGGGACAACTTGCATAAGAGGTACGTATATTGCACATACACGCGAAGTACAACATGAACTGACTTTCCATTCTAGTCGAAATCTTATCGAGTTGTCCGATGATTGGAAGTTTCCCCAGTCGCTACACTCCGTATATTGGAAGTTTGCATGGGTTCTGGTCGCAGCGCACCGCACTGTGGTCCATGATCGCTTGCCTAAGGACCACGATCTCGGCAACTGGATCTACCAGTATGGTCAACATATGCTGAAATGCAAAAACGACCGCAAGCTATCACCGTTCAACTATAAGCCTAATCAGGCGTACAGCGGACCGAAAGTGGGGTTTCAGGAGCTGGGATGTTGGATTTTCCGCAACAATGTGTGCTTGCGTTACGTCAAGTTATGGGAAGCAGCAGATGAGGCACACATGAAGTATTTGATGGATCGAACCGACGCTCACTGGAGTGACTACAAAGCCAAGAATGCGAAGCTCTGTGAGATTCTTGAAGTTGAGGATGATGGCATGGAAACGACTGACTCGACGGACGACGAGTAGGGTACACGGTTCGATGATGGTGATGGTCAAGTAGTCTGAAGGTACACATAGTGGTTTTAGAGTACACTTCTCTTTTCAGAATACATGGAATACCCCTAAGCTATAATTTCCAAATCACTGTTGTGATGTCGTGCCTACGAAGTTTCAGTGGTTGCAGTATTGGCTGATCCGGGCTATCTGAAGTTGTTTAGATACAGCATTATTGTCTCTCTGGAATTGGGACAGTAATCAAACAAGGAAAAGATTTCGAGAAAGCTTCTTGGGCATTAAAACTTGAAAAAAAGGGATTCTTTCTTGTGAACCGGTGCGTCGAAAAAGAGTGGGTTTAATTCTGAATTGGTCACTGATGCGGGTTATGTAGCCAGCTGCTCCTTCCATATCGTACCTTCCTCGAACGTTAGCGTCGCATGTGGTACAGTCTCATAAAACTTCAGCACAATGGCCCCCTCATGTCTTCAGATCCAACAGCTGACATGAGGTGAGTGCAATACCGACATGATACAATTAAGTCTAACAATGTATGTGGTAGCAATTTCGCCCCCAAAGTATCGCCAATCTGCGTCAGTGACCTCGCGTCACTATATAGAGAAAGTGGCAGGTCTCCCTCGCCCTCGCCATTGAGGGAAGAGGAGGAGGAGGAGGAGGAGGAGAAGAAGATTGTGGTTTCGGATGGTAGCGACGAAGATGTCGTTGCTCCTGAGGTGAAAACCGCTTCACCCAAAACAACCACCACTACCACTACCACTGCCTCCAAGAAGGCACACCAAAACAAAGCTGTTCCTGCGAAGAGGAAAGCACCACCACCACCATTTGACGAGGCCAACAAAGAGAACGATGCCTCCGCGTCTGGCCCCAAGCTCAGACGTACCGGACGGAAAACCGCCCTTCAAACAAACGAGAAACTCAAGAATCTCGACTGGTCATCATAAGCCTTTATCAGCCAAAACAAATCATTAAATTTTTTTACAATGAACTGGAGCATCGTTGTCTTGTGGAGGAAGAGAAATTTATGGGATGATTAATGAAATGGAAATCAGATGACAACTTATACTTATAATGTATATTCTTTTTGGAAAATGTTACTAGTCGAAAGCCAATTACTTTATTAAACACAGCCACCGTTACATTGCGCATGCCAAAAACAGTTGCAACCCGTCACCCGGCAGCAGCGGCAAGTGGATCCCACCCC